TAAATGTCTTTGTTTGTCTTATGGATAATGGATGCTAATTTATCTCTGGTGTTTATGATGTAAATCAGTTACTAGTTAAAGATTAACTGTAGAAGCTTCCAGGAGAGCTGGACTGAACCCCTGGCCCCCCCCCCCCCCCCCCCCGCCCGCCCTGACAGCCGCCCACATGATACCTGGCAGTGCTGTTCCAGTGGTTCCACTGGGTGGAAATTCTCAGAGTGGTTTTGGTTGTCACTGTAAGCTGCCCGCCACGTTGGCATTTCAGCGATACGTTTCCCTGGTAACCACACCGGCTTTGGGAACCCCGGGGGGGGGGGATTGCCGGCATTCCGAAAGTCTCCCCGGGCAATCGAGCCAGCTTTCGGTGCTTGTGACTCACCTTCAGTCCCGTAACTGTACTGTTCGATTCCCGAGATAAAATGCAGGCATCACACCTGACTGTTCCTGCTTTGCTCCTGGCTCCGTTCCCTGTTCCTTCTTCTGAGCCCCTCTCTCTCTGCCAGCCCATGCTGCTCTCTGATGGACCGTTCCCCGTTCCTTCTCTGATGAACCGTTCCGCCGCCCCCACGTTGTCTCCCCTCTGCCATCTCTGATCTTGGGCTTCACTGGCTCAGGCAGCTCGGTGCTGTGGGCCAGACATTCAATGTCCCACCAGGCTGCAAGACAAACAAGGAACCCAGTTTGGAGATGGAGTCTCTGAGCTGACAGAAAAGCCCTCTGCTCCAGGGACAGGCTCACACTCAGCCTGGGAAGCCCCCGCCATTGGCTGTGACACTGCTCAGTTGTAAAGGAATCTCTCTGCTGTCTCATCTAGACATCTCATGCTTTTAGAAGGTTTTGTCGGTAGCCATGGGGAGATTTGCGCCTGTCCCAGACTCCCTGCTCGACTATAGAGGCCTTCATGATGTGAGATTCCTGCTTTTCAACAAGCAGAATGCAGGCGTGTGTCTGATTGGTCATGGGGGCTGGATGGAGGAGACCCCTGTTCCAGAGCCCTAGGGCCTGGGGGTCAGGGAGTGTGAGGACCCACGAAACTCTTGGTCTTTCCACAGATCTCATCTCCACCCTTGCTGGGACCACGGGCTACTCTGCGAGACCAGGAGAAGCACTACAGCTATGACAAAGTTCACAATTTCAAGGTGAATAGTGAGTTCTGATGTGTGTACAGGGAGTACTCTGTGTGCACTGTGAGAATGTAGTGAGAATTGAATGTGTCCTCTGCTCATATACTGTGAACTGCCTGTGTATTTTTTGAATACAGTGAGTATTGAATGTGTGCTGTGCAAGTGCAGTGAGTATCGTATGTACACTATGTGAGTACGGTGAGTACTAAATTTATACTGTATGAGTACAGTGCATATTGTTTCTGCATTGTATGAATACAGTGAGTACTGCCTGTGCACTGAGTACAGTGAGTACTGCCTGTGCACTGAGTACTGCATGTACCTGTGTGGTACTTGGTTTCAGCCAGCAGGTCACCCAATCAGCAGATCCCTGGCACGCTCCCTGTGAGTTTTCTCTGCTTTTGGCCCACACTCTGGTCACCTCCCCTGGGGGGGGGGAAGTCAGCTCTGTTTTTCTCTGTTATTGAATTACGTGTGGCTCAGCGGTCCTGTCTGGCTGTCCATGACTCACAGCTGGGTTTACAGCAATTAATGCTTACACAGCTCAGGGCTAAGTGGAATTATTCTCCTTCATTATTATTAATTTGCTTATCAGAAATCCACAGCCCAGAGGGGATATACACAGCAGGCCTCTGCTCAACGGTCTAACTGCAATGCCCAGCTGATCAGGTCTCCAGCGATGTGGGGTCACAGTGATCCATAACCACATTGCTCAAAGACTCGTTCAGTCACTGGTGGATATGAGTGGAACTGTGCATGTTTTAACGGTTCTCAAACGAACGCACGTGAACCGTAACATGTTCCTGTGCATTAGAACATGCTGAGGGTTCCTCATATCCTGTTTTACCATTTGTGACTTTCTCCTGGAGAATTTTCTCCTTCCTTGTTAACCGTCGTATCTCAGCATCACCCCTGTCTGTTCCTCACTGGCGCCCCCTGTCTGCCCCCCCTCCCCCCGCAGACACACACCTTCCGTGGGCCTCACTGGTGTGAGTACTGTGCCAACTTCATGTGGGGCCTGATCGCCCAGGGGCTGCGCTGTTCAGGTAACCCTCCACTCGCCTGCCATGCTGAGCTCACCCTACCCACACACGCACACCCTATCCTCACGCCACACGCCACACGCACACCCTATCCTCACGCCACACGCACACCCTATCCTCACGTCACACGCCACACACACACCCTATCTTCACGTCACACGCCACACGCACACCCTATCCTCACGTCACACGCCACACGCACACCCTATCCTCACGTCACACGCACACCCTATCCTCACGTCACACGCCACACACACACCCTATCTTCACGTCACACGTCACACGCACACCCTATCCTCACGTCACACGTCACACGCACACCCTATCCACACGTCACACGCACACCCTATCCTCACGTCACACGCACACCCTATCCTCACGTCACACGTCACACGCACACCCTATCCTCACGCCACACGCACACCCTATCCTCACGTCACACGCCACACGCACACCCTATCCTCACGTCACACGCCACACGCACACCCTATCCTCACGTCACACGCCACACGCTCACCCTATCCTCACGTCACACTCCACACGCATCTCTCACACAGCTCACAATCTGGTGCACGGTTCATCTCACATGTAATATCTAGTACAGAACTAGTACCGTTCTCATGAGCCATGACATCTTGTCCTGGGTGTATCCGACCTTATTCCCTGTGCTTACTGAGATAGGCTCCGACCAGGATAGTCCTTTAGAGCAAGGATGGATGGATGGTTGGATGGATGGATGGTCCAGATCAGTAGAACCTGGTGGTGTGAAATTTGTACTAAAGTACTTTTTCTGGTCCCACTATCATGGTCCAGGTCAGTCCAGAAGAACCAGGTGTTCCCACTGCATTGTTTGCTGTGAACTTGTCAGTAACACATCTCCCAGTCCCTAGGAGAGTGGATGAAGCAAGGGTTTGTAGGTAATCTGCCACTCAATGGACACAGAACCAGTACTGGTTGTGGTGTTTTTGAGAAAGATCTTCTAGAAAAATTCAGACTGAAACTTGACAAAGCCTTCCACCAAAATGTTCACAGAAAAAGTAAACAGTTCATTTAGGTAATTAAGGCAGGGCTTTTAACGAGCAGCTAGAGGGCGGTATTTCTAAAATTAGACTACCTCTGGACAGTCTGGCAGACAAAAATGTCTGTAGAAACAGCACCAGTTCCTACAAAATGTCAGGATTCCTCGTCGTTCAGATGCAATCTGGGCTGTTTGTGTCTAAGCTGAATTTTGGAGACGGCCTTAAAGTCGATGAGGCGGCTTCTTCCTCCAGGTGGCTGTCAAGCCGCTGTAGCCTCGAGGGTGGGGG